ACATATTATCTATTAGGGGGAAGTCTAGTGGAGGCTAGTCGGCGACAACGGTTCACATACAAACGGTCTATGAACACATTTCTAATCTCTTTCTGTGTTTTAAATATGTTCATGGATGCTGTTAGAAACGGTAAGATGCTTGTGATTTTCATATTTTTGTTGTTTTTATAAAAGTCACAGCCAATTACTTAAAATCGTAAACAGAGAAAACTATAATCTATTTTCGAAATCTGTTTAAATTATTTTGTAAACATTAATAGAATAAATATTTTATATCAATGGATTTCCCGAGAGGTTCGCTAATACCTACCTACCCTACCTCTCATGAATACAATACAATAATTCAACTACCCATAACTATGAATTGTAAATCTATAATAAACAAATAAATAGTTCTAAAACGCGCGCCATTCCATTACACAGCGACAGAACCTCAAACCGGAAGTTGCGCTAATGAAGTGCCGCCGCCTAACGTCGAGAGAGCCTCCGGTGCACTATTCCTCTCTTAACCGAACTAAATGTGTACCTGTCCTGTTCTGACACCAAATACGCAAATGACTAGATAGACTACGATACGTCTGCGTTATGAAGTGCTCTTAAAATCCAGGCTTTAAGAGGTAAGTGGAGGAGGTCTCACAATCCTTAATCTTGTACCGCAAAGTATTGTACCTTTGTGGTACAATATTTAGTTTACATACCAAAATAATACACCAGATGTGTAATAATCCGGTTTGAAGGACCAAAAATTATGTGGGCGCTAAACCTAGCAATAAGGTTCGTAGATTCTACCCAGCACTAATTTGGGTATCACCATAGGTAGTATAAGTTTACTTATCTGTTGAGGAGGAGATATCCTACGGGAATCGCTGCACACTACTACCACGAAAGTAAAACAGCAACTCACCTTCAGCAACCGCACTGACCCGGCACTACCCAGGTAATGTCACTGCAGACTTCTTCCTCAGCCTCAACAGCAGCGTGTTTGAATGTCCAATTGTGACTAACTAACTAATAGTACTTTATATCTAAAGCTGTTCGACTTTGATGCTCTGAAACCTAGCAAAGGTTTGCGTGAAACTACTTACATCGTACACAAATTAAGTAGTACCTGACATGACTTGGCTGTGTGCCGTAGCACCATGTCACAAAATCTCTGTTCGCTAGAGTATCTTATCATTTTGGTATGCAGATACTATTTTTTTTTTTTGTTATGTTATAGGGGGCATACGAGCAGACGGCTCACCTGATGGTAAGTGATCACCGTCGCCCATGGACACTTGCAACACCAGGAGTATCACAAATGCGATGCCGGCCTTTAAGGAAGGAGTACGCTCTTTTTTTTGAAGGTTCTTGGGTCGTATTGGTCCGGAAACACTGCTGGCGACAACATATTCCAATAATAAATATATACTAAAAAATAGAAGTCTCAGAGTAAACCTTGCATACCGAATAACAAATGTACTTTTAGGAACATTACATAAGTATATAGAGTAGATGTTTTTATTGAATGATGATCAAACAAGTGTCCCTACTAGCATTTGAACCCAGGACTTTTAAGTAATTTGAAGTCGAAGTTCCGTAAGACAGTTGCCGGACTAAGCTGCTATTCGACAGAAAGTTTTGCGAAGTATCTACGTGGTGTCAACTCGAACGCTTGAGGGCCACTAAATCGCTGAGTAAGTGAAATTGAAGCTGGCCGAAGTACCCTAATCTTACTAAACATTGAGCTCAGTACGACATGTCCGAACATATAAATAATAATAATGTAGTAGTATTGAAAAATGAAAGGAAATATTTCTTTAGTGCTTACATGATCCTTATAAACATGTTGTTGAGTATCCACTTCTCTCTTTACTTGTTTTAGGGAACACTCGATCGATTTATTGACTTTTTATATAGAACTTGAACTTTAATGCTACATATATTTCCCAAACATTGTTTATTTTATTTTTACCATAATTTTATTATTATTGTTTGAACTATAATGGCAAAAAAAAATCTGCTTGATAAATTCCAACCGACCCAAGCATTAGATAGGACCAGAACCTGCACCCCCCGCCATCTGAACGGAAGAGGAAATTCGAAAAACCCGCCGTAGCCCGGGACCGAGCATAACTCCAGCACAATATATTTTAACAAGAGTTTAACATAAGTCATTTGATAATACCACTGTGGTGAAAAATATATAGTGTGCTAGTATCAGTATTCACAATGAATGGTGGCTAAGGTATAGAAGCTTGTGGAGCAACATCTACATGCCCTACGTATAACTAACATGGAGAAAATAATCTTACGCCTCTTGAAGAGATGGCGTTACCGGGGCTGCGCTCTCAACGTATGAAAGCCTAAATCGCGCAAGTAAAATTCGGAGGCTAACACTCCATATATATGATGTCCAACCAGGATCAGTCGGGCCACGGCCCCTGAGCTACCATCACCCAGCTCGGAGGAAGATAGGAGATCTTCCTACAAGCTATTCAAGAGGGCCAACGACAGGCTTTTATGTAACATCCAAGAAGAAATGCGTGAAAGGAGATACCGCAATCTAGTTGGATCACATCAAGAACCCTAGTCATATCCAAAAGAGGGACAAGGTATGCATATAATGCATCACACGCAGTCTGATGATAAAACAAACAAAACTGAAAATCTAGTCTAACAACAACACCATGAAATAGAATGAAAGAAAAACATTTATTGACGACATACATTAACAATTACAATAAATACACAACAAACATAAAACAAAAGGTACATTGTCAACTAGGCCCCACCAAAGCATAATGTTGCAACGGCAACTGCAACGCCGATATTCTGGAGGGACCTAATTTGGACATCAACGGACAGAAATACAAGACAATCACTTAAGTGATCTAAAGGATCTATTATTAAACAAAAGCGGTGGAATTTCAAGACAAAGAGGAAGAAATGATATACAATTTTTTTCTTCCTTCTTTGTCGTCAAATTTATCTAAAGAAACTCATTTCAATTGTGAAGTTTTCTTCTTTACCTTAGAAATAATAAACGCCTTTTGTATCTGGCTGGACAACTCCTCCAATCTCCGAAAACTCTTAACGCAAGGCATTATTTTACAAGGCATTTTAATCTGTAAATCGAAAGGAAATTATTGCTGTCCTGATCTTCTGACCAGATATAGTTCACTGTGCTACAACCCAAAACTCAGTATTCCGTCCACGCACTTGCTTCTAAGTTACCAGACTGTTAACTGCTAGTCTAACCAGAAATTAGGTGCTATCTGTGGGTATAAATTACACACTTCATATTCATATACCCTGTAACATAATTGGTTAAGTTTACACGAATAAAGATCTAGCATTACATGATCTTCTGCGGTGTGGCATTGTAAATGGTCTCAATTTACACCATTTTAATTTCCAATTCGCATTGTACTAAAGATAATTTAATAGGTAAATATTTAACATGGAGTCGCTACATTGACTTGTATCTTTTTGTTGTATATTGTTGCCGAAAAGAAAAAAGTGCCATTGCAAAATTGTTTCTTTATCGTAAATTTTTTTTACAAAATATACATTCTTTTCGGCTTATTTTTCTATTCAAACAAGGACACTAGAGAAGGGATGATCCCGAGCTTCCTTCCGGACCCCGGAAGCGGCTCGCTCCACTCAATAATATACTTTGTAATCGCGAGTTCCCAGAATAGTATCACAAAACAAAGCAGGTACTACATTATTAAATATAAAAAAACAGAATAAATACTTCATCGCATATTTTGCCTGGATGGAATTTAATAACTTTTCTTCAAACTCGTGCTTGGAAATATGAGCATTATTCTGAAAACTTCTTCAAGATAAATTGAAACTGCTGTACTGACCAAATACATAGGTATAATTGTATGAAAATCTATATCGTAACTTATCAAAGGTTTTATTTTAATTTCGAACTGGCTTGATAAATAGAAAGCTGTTCATTGAAACGAATTGAACACTTTAACGCGGGAAAAAATATTGTCGACGTTCGTTCGTTCGACATTTGCTTTGAAAAGTATTTTATATACATAAGGACGAACCAATATCGAATACGTATCGTTTGCTAATACGCAATGTCATTGTCAAATGTGTACTGATTTTTAGTTCTCATTACGTACTTTGTAGCGCTGCTGTTCAAGTTTCCATACAAAATTTGACAATGACATTTCGGACTCGCAAACTATTCGAATTCGAGAATGGTTCGTGCTAGGGGTATTTACGTACGTATGTGTGCCTCAGTATCACCTCAGCTAAAATTTACACGTCCATCAATGCCTCTTTTTTTGGCCGCTGCAGTAATGTACTAAAAATTTGCTTGGTTTAAAATCGCAATCTGTTGAGTAAAGTACTAATTTCTGATAACCTGATAGGTACTGTTTTGTCTGTGATCATACAAATATTTTTGAGAGACATAAATACCTACGACAAATGTACGTTTTACTCCATGTTGGTAGATATAATTATGGAGTATTTAATAAGAACTACATTCCTTACAGCGTTTTTATATGAGACAATTTACGCGCGTTTACAATCGCGTCTTTGGGTTAATTTATTTATTTTATTGATCGTTGATATTTTTATGTCTGATCCATTTATAACTGGGGGCCGTTCGCCTGACAGGATTGTTGTAGCTATCGCTATCAGTTACGATTTCATTGTGTTATTTATGATCCCCGAAAGTTTTCATATACCGCCCATTTTTTTTAAATATTATTATTAGCAATGCAGAAGAAAAAGAGCGCGAGGCATTTGAAGATCTTGGGCGGTCAGAAATAACAAAATGAAATCGCAAGCGATAGCGATAGCCTTAGCAATACCTTTAGGCTATTGGGCCCCTGTTCTAGTATTATATGTTTATCGTTCTTCCTAAGCCTTATGATGGCGCAATTAAGTACTCGATACTATTTCCATGCCAAGATGTTATAAGTTACCTACAAAATAGAGGTGTGTCAAACCTTCAAACGTGTACTTACAATGCTATTTCCTTTGTCCTAGGATGGAAGAGACGGTGCGATCACTGCTGCAATACAAGAGCCGCGTGGAAACTTTGAAGCAGGAAAAAGCGTCTTTATCTTCTGCGCTGGAGGTAAGAAATTCGTCTGCTGTAATCTATTGCTAATGTAGTTAAATGAAAAATGGGTGTTCTCTGTTTTAAATTCTTCGTTATATAGGCCTTTTTAATATTTTACACAGTATATAAAATCAGTTTGCTGTTATAATGACGTAGAGTTCACGACACGACAAGTTTATCGATATCAAAAGTCTATCCCCTTATCTTAATCCCAATACACGTACAGGTGCAATTCACTAATGAAAAACTGAAAATTATATAGATTTCTATTGGATTTCCCAATCATTTTTGAAGAGTTAGGGCCGAAATAAAAGAAGATTAATTGAAGCGGAGATTTATTCATCGACACGATTTAACGGTTAACAATCCAAGCAATGTGTGTGTGAGAGACAGAGAAAGAGATGATACCTTCCACGGTATTTTTTATGTACCAGTAGGAATGATGACTATTTTTTTTTCTTCGTTTATCAGGTATATTATCAAAAAGTATTTGACACGTATTTTTTCTTTTTTCACATAATATAAACATTGCAGAGATACATTGAATTGAAAAGTCGCATGACGTCACGTTTAGGTACAATTTTCACTTAAAAGTGACGTCACGAGCCCCTACTCCCAAGCTTTGACGCGCTATAACTTTGTCATTTTTGGTTGATTGCCCAAAGAAAAAATACGTGTCCATTATTTTTTGATCATCTAACTGACGGACTAAATAGAATTTCGTTTACTGTACCCCGTCATCATCCCTATTAGCCTAGCCCCAAACTAAGCACTGTAAGGCTTGTGTTATGGGATACTAGAGTAAGGTGTAGAATACATATACTGTGCATGTATAAGCATATTTATATATAAATACTGGACTGGAGTACAAATGCTCGCATTCATCACACAAACATCTGCCCCCACCGGGATTCGAACCCTGGACCTCTCGAGTCGGCGACATCATGAAACCCGGCGTACAAACCACTCGGCCACGGAGGTAAATTGACGAAAGGTAGACATTTAGGTAGACTTAACTAGTTGCGTTTACGGACCCTGTTAAACATACATCAGAGTTTGCGTTTACAAAGTCATTCCAACAATATTCTTTCATATAAACTTTGTCTACACCATAATGAACACAATAAAAAACATCCAGTCAAATCGACCAAGTAGTTATGTAGTATTCAATAAACATAAACATTATATAACATATCACATCAAACATCAGAAGGGTAAGATATAAAGTATAAAAGTACAATGGGCAAAAAATGCAAAATCGCCAATCATTTGACAAACATCCCAAATCTGTTAGTCAAAAGTTGGTACAGACCCTTAACTTTCGGTCCAATATAACTTGATACTTTCACCAAACAACATTTACAATAGTAACAAATGGAGAGTCGAGCTCAGTTCAAACTGGCTGCCTTTTATGTATAGATAGGATGTGAATCAAATGCGAAATATTCAAAATATTTCATAATGAGGGGCGGCATTGTTCAGTGCCCCTGCTTTCCCCGCGTTTTACAATAAAAGTCAGCGCAACGTTAGGCTTTTCGGTCGGTTAGCAGTGAGCGGGCAATGTGTAACTTTCGGATTTTGTTCGTGAAATGGAATTGCATGATTTATTCAGGCTAAAATGTTACGAACTTGAAATACCTGTGTTGTAACTCGTTACAATTTCATGAATAACTGTTACCTACGCCATTTTATTAAAGTGCAACCCCGAAAGGGTAAGTAGACCGTAAATTATCGAAATATTTTTTTAATAAGATTATACTTTGTTACTTTTTAGGGGGGACGGACAGACGGAAGATTTGTATGATAAAAATATATCTTCAGAGTTAATTAATCAATTTCTTACGTAGAGCTCCTAACAAACTTGCATTTAGGGGATTGGTTCGTGAGCACTATCTCAATAACATTAAACAGAGTTCTCATATTTGACTGACATAATCATATAATTAAATAGATATTTATGTATGTTATTCCATTTTCGCATGTGCATGTAATAGCCTAAACTGAATAAATACATATTGATGTTATTTATATATATTACTGGTAGAAAATGCCTTTGGAATTATGTCCGCCATTTGCTGTTATTTTGCAATAAAATTTAATTTGAAAAATTTTTTTGTTATAAAAAATAATCTTAATGTTTTTTGGCCCGGAAGCAAGATAAACATAGAATTAACTTAAAATACTCCGTGAACATACCATCTATCATAGGAAAACTTTGCTACTTCGAAATCTGTTGTACGAGATATACGATGAAGATAATGACATAGGCTATAACATTCGTTATTATCAAGAATATTCTCTTAGCAGGCAGGTTGTTAGGTCGTATCAAAACTATTTGGCACGCGGCAGTCCGTCATTTAGGAGTTATTACGAGGGCGGGGGTGGCAGTTCCCGGTGAGTATCCTCATTATCAACGCTGCTGTCTCATTTAGCCCATGTAAGTATATATAGACTTACTACATAAAGCCCTTGGCCGTAAAGAAAAAAGAAAAAATATTAGAGCATTACCGCACAGGCGTGCAACAAAAAACCGCATGCTGTATGATCCTTTATCCAAAGGCATTAAATTTATAAATAAAAAACCGAAAGTTTTTGCGCGCTTTTATGACATTTCACAATAGATAGTGGCTATTCTATGGACGTGTTATGGATCCATGATTCTGTCGCGCTGAAGAAAATTTCAGAAAAGTTTTTGTATAACTGTAAGGTGCTGAATTTGATTACAATTATTAACATTCGAAAATTTATACTATAACTTGCTGTTCTAACGAACTTCGTACTGCCATAAAAAAAATAGGGGTTGGTGGTAGAAGGGTGAAAATTTAGGGCTGTATGTATATTTGTATGATGTATCATAAAAAAATAAAATCAAAAAATCTTGTCCAAAAAAATTTAAAGATTTAACCACCCTTACCATAGATGTTGTCCGATGCTCAGACCTACTACTGAATATGCATATAAAATTTCACGAAAATCGATCGAGCCGCTTCGAAGTAGTTCAATTACGCACACCGCGACACGAGAATTTTATACATATACCTATTAGATATAGGTACTGTATAATTAATACGGGTATTTTCTGTCTGAAACATCTATAGTTGAAGTTTATTTATACATTTGGAAAATAAATAGCCTACGACATCTTTAAGGTTTCATGAATAAGCTACATTTTCAACTGGGTAAATTATTGTTTAAATTAACTAAGAAATTGTTGAAAGCTGGCTTCTAATGCCGATAGGGGCATTTATTTGTTTCATGACTTGTTCCCGAGTCCATGGTTGTTTATAAATATTATATTCTATACGTTATTTCATTACCACAGCACAATCTCTGCTTACATAGTTTTGTCCAGAATTCATTATTATGATCTAACAAACAGAGTGACAAATCATAACCCATGAAAGTTAAACGCTATCCTCAGGCAAGTTATCAGACTAATTTAAGCGGAATCAAATGTAAAATGCAAACTAGGCTTGCATCTGTCCGCTCGTTTGGTACACATTAAACAGCATTTATCGAGCGGCGGGGACAGGCGATCATTTTTGGATTATGGCTGGCCCTACAGATATAGGAATTAATTTACGTAAGCACCACACCCTGACCAGCGTAATTAGAGCTCTGTCACTTCAGACTTTAGGAAAGATGTTTATGATAGGCCACTCGTTTAGGGGTCTTGGTGTACTGGTTTGGTTACCGCTGGACGTTCTTTGAGAGATTATGAACGGTGGAGTGTGTTTGAAGGGGTGGGGGGAGATGTTTTTGCGTAATTAGTGCCATAACCGCTTTCTTGCGATAAGTGGGTATTATGGGTGTACGCTTAAGAGTAGATGCCTAGTCTCAATTAGTGATGTCGTATTTTTTGATGTTTTAACTGTATTTTGCACAGACATTATTGTTTTATCAATACTCTATTGTCCTACATACAAAACCAGATGTTTTAAATGAAAAAATGTTTGTTATTAACAAGATAAAGCGTGTTTCAATAATAGAGGTTGGATTCCCCTTTTAAGCGTGAGGACACTTGTGCTAGGAAAAGTCATTCTGACATAGTATAAAGTGACTATATAATACTGCCAGTGCCTACATACAAACATTACTTATAATAATAGCAACCCGTACATGTTTTTTACAAATTATGTGTACATGCAAACTGTTAGTCCTACTCAGTGTGGTAAAGTTACAATTGCTTAATTACCAAGCTTTCAGTTTCCTCATAACTGAGAGTTGTCAGCCAATCGGTAAGCAGGTGCTTGTTTTCGATATTTGTCTTTGAAACAACAAGATTCTGAACCTATACCCCCTTAATAAACAAAGACCAAGCTTGGATTAGTTACTCTATGTTTTGTCTCTGTTTATCATCATCATCATTATCATCAGCCTATTAATGTCCCCACTGCTGGGGCACAGGCATTCCGTATAGATAGAATAGGGAGATTGGGCCATGACCCGCCACGCGGGCCCAGTGCGGATTGGCGGGTGCTAACGACTGCAGATGCAGCCGGGACAAACGGCTTAACTTCCGAAGCACGGAGGAACTCGAGATAGAAGTTTTTGGTCACCCATCCAATGACTGACCACTGCGAAAGTTGCTTAACTTCAACCATCGCAGCCGAACGCGCTGACCACCTGCGCCATCGAGCTCCTCGATCTCTGTACATTGAATGACAAATGGCACTTGAGTGATATGAACAAAACACGGCGTAGGTAGTTTATGCTTATTCCTTGTTTATTAATAAGGGGAATACAGTTTAGAATCTTGTTTACAGAATTATATAGGTGAGACAATCGATTTTTGTACTGGTTTTTATCAGAAAATTTACTGTTTCTATGATGTTCAAGATACTTACAGACTGAAATACATTGAATTTTTACGAAAAAAACACTGACAGTGCTGAAATGTTACAATCAGATAGAGGTTTTTAATATCGGGGGTTGCCATGGATGGAACACAATGGAATGCTCATATTCGAATATTCAAAACGGCGGGAAATGGAATATCATAACTGGCTGGCATT